TGCCCACCCACCCCACCCCCATCCTTTCCTGCTCTCCCCTCCATCTCTCCCCCTCACTTTGCTCCCTCACTCTGCTCCAGCTACATAGGGCTTCTCCTTGTTCCTCCAACATGCCAGGCATGGGCCTGACTCAGGGCCTTTACATGTGCTGGGACCTCTGCCTGGAGAGCTATCTGCTCTCTCGCTCTCTCCAGATCTCCCAGGTCTCAGCTCAAATGCCCCTCTCAAAGAGATCTTCCCTGAGCCCCTCAGCTCAAGCAGCCTCAGCCACTCTTGACTGATCACTGCCCTCTATTTTATTTCCTTCAGAGAAAGTTAGTGATTGCGTATTTGTTTGCTTGTCTCCCCTCATGGAACATCACCTCCTTGAAGGCAGAGGTTTTTGTCTCTCTTGATTGCTATTGTGTCTTCAGTGCCGAGAATAGGACCTGGTACACAGTAGTTGCTCAATAAATATTTGTAGAGAGAAAGAAAGGAGGAAGGGAGATATGAAGCAGAGAGAAAAAGAGAAACTAGAGAGATGGGACATCAGGGACAAGGAAGGAGGAAAGATGAAAAGGAAGGAAGGAACAGCCAGTGTGTGAGGGCATCCTGTTGGATGTACTGGCACAGACATGCCTAGGGAGGATGGCCCATTCCAGGCGGTTCACAGGCCCCCAAGCCGCTCCTACTGGCCATCTGTGACCAGAGTCCTCCTTGGTCTCCTGAGATCCCCGGAGCCTCCCTCTAACTCAGATGTTCAAGTCAGGCGGGGCAGCTGCACATGGTTGGCCTAGTCCCCTGAGGAGCTCCAGCCTCTGGCGGAGGAAATCACTTCCTCTCCACCCGCCAGGGAGTCCCCTGGAGATGGAGCTGGGCGAGTGCTGCACAAACAGGAAACCCCGGTGGGGGGAGGGCAGAGGGGGGTACAGACACCAGCTGGCCAGTTGGGTGAGCAGGAAGCAGCCATGGCCACTTGCCCTGGATACTGGGGGTCCACCACCGCCCTGTCCTCCCTGGGATGTGACCCTGTGTGTCCCAGCATGAGCCTGGGAAGATAGTAAGTGCTCAATAAATTGTGTGCACAAAGCTTGTAATCAGGAAGGCTGGGGTTCCTCCACTGTCCAGGGTGTTGGACAGCTGGGAAACTGAGCACCATGATATGCTCCCTGCAGCCAGTGCTGCCCCCTGGGGGCCAAAAGAACTGCTTCCAGCACACACCACCAGTCAAAGCCTAGATTACTGCTTGCCCATCCCACACCTTCTCTGACCACTTTCCCAGAAGCAGGGCTGGAAGCATAGTCCTGAAGAATGGAAAGGAATCAAAAGCTTCTTCCAGCCCTGTCGGTCTCCACCTTGCCAAGTGTGTTCTAACCCCAGGGCCCTTGCACAGGCTGTTCTTGCCACCAGGAACTTTGTGGCCTCCAGGGGGGTGGCAAAACATCACACTTATGATCATCCTAACCAGAGGAGCGAACACTTACAGGGCAGTTACCCCATGCCACATGCTGCTCTTGTCACTTCCCAAATTTTAACTCACATATTCCTGTTATCCACCAGTAGGTAACCTGAGGTCTTGGTAAAATGCTACCCTCTCAGCAAGGCTTTCTCTGAGCCCTTTGTGTAAGATATGTCCCCTTTCCAGTAGACTCCCTCCCTGCCTTACCCCTGCCTGCCTTACCCCTGCCTGACACACCTCACATTGGACTTAGTGATATCAAAATGTTTTTCTATTGTGATAAAATACACATAAGATAAATTTTATCATTTTAACCATATTAAAATGTAAAATTCAGTGGCATTATATACATTCACAATGTTGTGCAACCATCACCACTATCTAGTTCCAGAACATCCCATCACCCCAAAAGAAACCTCATTCCCCCTCAGCAGTCACTCCCCACTCCCCTCCCCCAGCCCCTGGCAACCACAGACTAACTCTGTCTCTGTGGATTTGCCTGTTCTGGACATTTCATACAAATGGAATCATACCTTATGTGGTCTTTTGTGTCTGACTTCTCTCACTGAGCATCATATTTTCAAGGTTCGTCCACATTGTAGCGAGTGTTGATGCTTCATTCTTTTTATAGCTGAAAAGTATTCTATTGTCTGGAGGGACCACGCTGTGTTTATCCATTCATCCATCATGGACACTGAGTTGTTTCCAGTTTGGGCTGTCATGAATCATGCTACTGTGAACATTTGTGTACAAACTACCCCAGCCCGGAGAAGAGTCTCTCTTCCTTTGACATTACATGGGAGTGGTTCTGGGGACACAGGATTTTAACTGCTGTTTGTGGACACTCTATTCAGCTTGTGTTCTGGGCCTTTTTGCCAAGCTGTCATCTAGGCACTAGGGACAAGGCAGGGCCTGGGCAGAGACATCCTGCCTTCTTGAAGCTCCCAGTCTGGAGGGAGAAGGATACTAAATAGCAGCATTGCCTGCGGTGATGATTGATGCAAAGAAAGCAAGCCTGCCCCTCCTAGGTAGTTTGGTTCATGTCTCACAACCACCTAGACAACAGAGTACTGTATGTGGGCCCCATTTTCAAGATTAGGGAGCATAGAAGGGAAGGGATTTGCCCAAGATCACCACCAAGTGGGTGACCGAGCTGAGATTTTAACCTGGGTTTGGCCCCTGCTTGCAGCCTGCTGCGGCCTGGGGAGCCCCAAATGAAGGTGAGGCTGGATATGGGGCCCACCTGGGGCTCCCTGGAGAAGGGGAGACTGGATGCAGATATTAATAAAAGGATGTTTGCTCCAGCTGTGTAAGGACAGAGGGACTCTCTCATCTGACTGGAATGGCTTAGCTGGATAGCCCCACCACTGTATGGCTGCAGGAGTCAAGGGGGTGACTGCCCAGGCTGGGTCCAGCCCCCTGAGTCTGGGCAGCACCGGGGTGTCGAGGAGGGACACAGACCCACTGACGCCCATTCTCTTCTTTTTCTAGACACAACTGACTTCCAGGAGAGCTTTGTCACCTCTGGTGTGTTCAGTGTCACCGAGCTCATCCAAGTGTCCCGGAGTGAGTGTCCCCACCCACCCTGGGCTGGGACCCGGATAGGAGAGGGGCTTGTACAGAGGAAGGGGCAATGGAGAGTAGAAGGGGCTTCAGGATGGAGGCTCCAAGAGAGAAGGGATCTCAGGGAGACGGTAGGGGCTCAAGGAGGAGGAAGGGACCCATCACCCTCCCCTTCTCCCTCTTGTCCCCTCCAGCCAACCGGTCACCAAGCCAAGGTTCCTAGGAAGGGTAGTATCCAGGCCCTTCCCAGAGCCCAAGGTCAGGGTGACATGCTCCTCCCCAGGAAATAGAATCCATATGCTGGGTGGAGGTGCTGAAGAACTTTCTTTCCAGTGTCTCTCCCTCCTGGAGCCTCCCTCACCCTGTCCCAGGAGGGGACCCCAGAGAGCCCCAAATCCCCCACCCATTTTGTTTCCTGCCCCCTTGCCTTCCCTATGAACCTACTGGGGATTCACCCCACTCTCTCAGACACCCCGTTTGAATTCCACCTCAAGGAGTTCTGCTTAACCCTGACCATTGTCTTCCCATCCAGATCAGCCTCTGGGAGCACTGGAAAGCTCAATCTCCAGCTCTGGCTATGCCTCTGCCTCAAAGCACGACCTTGGCCTCTCTTGATGGCCTTGGTCTTTTGAGCTATTGAAGAAAGCCAGTTTTGGCCAAATTAAGAACCAGACCAATTTGGGAAGGGGCTCTCCCCATTCCTCCACGGCGTATTGCAATCCGGGACTTTGCTCCCTCCCTCATTCTCCTCTTTGTCACTCTCTGCAGCACCTGTGGTGACTGGAACAGGACCTAGCTTCTCACTGGGGGAGCTGCAGGGGCACCTGGCATATGACCTGAATCCAGCCAGCACCGGCATGAGAAGAACGCTACCCAGCACTTCCTCCAGTGGGTATGTGCCTGGGTCCCCATCTCTGGGCATTTCACGACCACTTGCCCACCATTACCTGGCCCCAGCTGATTCATTCCTCTCTCTGGAATTCCTGTTTTCGTGGTCCACTTGGAAAATGCCTACTCATCCTTCAAAACCCAGCCCCAAGTGCCTCTTTCTCCAGCCCTGACACCCAACTCTGCACTTCAGTCCTACAGGCCCAGACCTTGAGACTCCATGGAAATGAAGTCACCGCTTCTCGCTGATACATGCTGTGTGACCCTGAGCTGGTCACATTCTTTTTGCCTCTGTGTCCTCATCCGTAAAATGGGATCATAATCCTACCAGTTCAGAGGATTACAGTAGGCCAAGTCACCAGCCAGGCCTCAGGGCTTTAGTCAGCGCTCTGCTAGCTTGCCGTGTGACCTCAGCTGGGTCCCTCCCTGCCCCTGGCCCCAGGTGTCATCCAAGCAAAGGGCAGGTTTTAACAGGTGTTAACGTAACTGCATGAGAGAGTGCAGCTTCCATGACCTCTCGCGAGAACACCCTCATCGCCCCGCCCCGTAAGGACCGGAAGTTAGCAAAGCTCATCCCCCTCCGCCCGCGTCTCCGTGGTAACAGGCCCGCGCTCTTCTTCCCTCGCCCCTTAGGAGCAAGCGGCACAAATCCGGCTCGATGGAGGAAGACGTGGACACGAGCCCCGGAGGCGATTACTACACCTCACCCAGCTCTCCCACGAGTAGCAGCCGGAACTGGACGGAGGACATGGAAGGAGGTGGGGCTGGCGACGGGGGTGGAGCCGGTCTTCCGGTTGGAGTTACGCGGCGGGGGACTACGGGTTCCAGCAGGCACTGCTTGCGCGCCAGGGAGCGGGAAGCAGGCCTGGATCCGTCAGGCCTCCCGGGAATTGTAGTCACACGGCTGCAAGTCAAGTCCGGGCTCAAGTTCCCAGAGCTTTTTGGTTCCGCTCAGGCCGGGGAGAACGTAGTATCTCCCAGGCCCGACTTTCCAGCCCTCTGCCCTTCAGTGGCCAATCTTTGTGGGGTTGCTGACCTGTAGAATTAACTGGCGATTCTGATCAGCAGGGTGTTTCTTCCAGGGGTCTGCCGTAGACCTCATCTAGAGGGTCCTGAGATGTAGTATCCCTTCTCACTGGGGTCCTCTGTGAAGTTCGTGTATTTACAAGATTCCCATCAACATGGGATCTTCCCCCGTGTGATTCCAGTTCTGTAGAAGCCCCGTCTCTTTTCTCATAACTCTCTTTTCCAGGGAGATTTTGTTCACACGGACCTCTCCAGACTCTTTCTCATGGGAGGTTCCTCTTCTATAGTTTTAGGAGTTCCATAGAGTCTCTTTACTGTTGAGCGCTAGCTTCTGAGGACTCTTTGTTTATGTACCGTCTCCCCAAGTGCTTTCTCCAAAGAGTTCCCTTCTTTGTGGCCCCCACCTCCACCACAATTCTCATCTAAAGAATCCCTTTTACTTTAAGGTTTTCTCTAGCGGGCCAGCATCTGTGACTCAGGAACTGTGCAAAGTAGTCCACAGGCTTGTGTTACTCTGGGGCAGGTGTCCCTGTTATTTCTCAGATTCTCAGCAAGGCCTGTGCCCCCCAATTTTATAAGCCTCTCTCTATCCAGCTTCTTATCCCTTATCAAGGGTTCACCCCATGAGATAGCCTAAGAGTTATGAACATGGACTCTAGAGTACACCAGTTCTTGGAGCTTCCTGGTAACCCCACCTGTCTGAGCTCAGTTTCCTCATTTGTGAAATTGGGACGTTAATACCTGCAGTACCCACCTTATAGGTAGTTTTGGGGATTAAGTGAATTAATAATCTGATATCCCTAACACAGACCTGGCACATAATAAGCACCCAATAAACCTTAGGATTTGTTTTCTCCTCCCCTCCTGCTCTTTCCCTCCTCCCTATCCCTGTAGAGCCTGCTTTTGTATGAAGATCTGTCTACACACAGTGCCATACCTACAAGTTCTTGAAAAGCAACGTTATAATAAAGAGGGCAGGTTCAGGCATCAGAGAGACCTAGGTTCTAATCCCAGCTCTGCCCTTGACTCGCTGTGTGGGCTTTGTAACCTTGGGCAGGTAACTTATCTGAGCCTCAGTTTTCTCATCTCCAAAATGAGAGTGATAACTCTTCTTTCAGAAAGTTGAAAGGGGGAAATGGTAGAATGTGTGTGGAGAAACTGTCTAGCGCATGATAAGTACCTAGGAAATAGAATTTATTGTTGCTTATGTCTTTATAAAATTCCCATCTCTTTGAATCAGTACACATCCGATTGACTTCTGAGGTCCCACAACTCCTCCCTCTTCCATGGTGTGGGCTCCCAGAGCAGGTACCTAACTCTGGGAGAACCTAGCTCTGTATTTAATAGGCTCTAATTTATGGGTCATAATGTCTCTAGGGTTCTATCTCTGTGGGTTCCCCATCTCTTGTCAGGTTTGCCTCTAAAAAAGACCCCGTATTCAGTAAACTTTAAGTTTGATTGTGATAAACAGAAAACTCAAAAGGATAGTGTATTTCTTTTGCAAGTAAATGTCTAGCCATCAGCAGCCCTGGCAAGTATGATGTAAGGGGCTTAGGCTCCTGCCTTATACTCCACTGAATAAGGTTTTCATATCCACCTCATGGTCCACATGACACCTGCTGGACTTTCAGCCATCATGTCTGCATTCCAGCCAGTAGGAAAGAAGAAAGGTCAAGGGCATGTCCTCTCCCTTTAAGAAAAATTCTCAGAGAATGCACTAACCTCTTCTGCTTATCTCTATGCCCCTGAGTTAGTTATGTGGCCATACTCTGCTACAAGGTACACTGGAAACTGTAGTCTTATTTTGGGCAATCAGGTGCTTATCTCAAATTTAAGGGTTCTGTTATAAGGAAGAAGAGTAGAGCAGATATTGGGAGACTTCTGCTCTGTCATTTACTCACTGGGAACTCAAAAGCACTTCTCATTAACTCTGTGACTGAAGAGGCTGTCTGCATATAAAGTATATACTATTTAGAGCTGAAAGACAGCATCTGTGATATAGCCACAGCAGCCCTGAGAGGTAAAATTATAGCCTTAAGTCTATTGATTAGGAAAAGAGCAAGGTTGGAAATAAAGAACCTAGCTTTCAATTCAGGAAGCTTAAAAAAGAAAAAAATTTAAAAAGAAGGAGCCCAGCCAGTGTGGCTCAGTGGTTGAGTGTCGACCCTGTGAACCTGGAGGTCATGGTTCAGTTCCCAGTAGGGGGCATGTAGGAGGCAACCAGTCAGTGATTCTTGCTCATCATTGATATTTCTGTCTCTCTCTCCCTCTCCCTTTCTCTCTGAAAATCAATAAAAACATATTTTAAAATAAATAAATAAATGAATGAATGAATGAATGAATGAATGAATGAATGAATGAAGGAAGGAAGGAAGGAAGGAAATGTTAGAGCAAGTCACTGGCTTGGTCTGACCTTCCTGCCTTGAGAACGGAGTGACACCAATGGGGGAACAAGGAAAAAACCTATACCAGCTTCTGGTGTGTGACTGGGAATTACGGAGCTGGAAGGGAATGTCACAGGGTGTCTGTCCCCTTATAGCTTCCATTGCTTGCCTCCAGTCATGGCAAACTCACTCACTTCTATGGGAACCTCAGTAAAAACCTGTACTGAATGCCTGTGCCTGCCCTGTAGGTGCTCACAGCCTAGTACAGGAGATGGATTCATGTCCTACTTCTGCCCTCCCCCCCTCCTCCCTCCCTCTCCTCCTCTCTCTCTCTTTCTCCTCCACCTGGCTTCCTCCAGCTTCCTGTCTAGACAGCCCCCAATTAGCTGCTCATTAAGGGGATTAAGCTGATTGGAGCACTCTCTCCCTTCTTCTGTTGTGGCTGCCAAGGGCAGTGCTCAGCTAAGCCCCCACCTCCAGTAGCCATACTCTGTTGCTTGGGAGGGTTAGAGGTCTGAGGGCATCATGCCGGCGCCACCCAGGCAAGATCCCCGCAGCCACATCTTTCAGGCTCCATGAGCCAGTCTCCTGGTCATTGCCCCATCCATGCCTGAGCCAGGAGTGCCCTTTCTCCTCCCAGCCACCTCCTCCTGAGGCCTTTCCTGATTATCCATCCAAGTGGGGCAGAAAGAGGGCACCTTCTGCTCAGCTCTCAGGGTGCTTTGTTTTTGCTCCTTCTGTAGCTCTTCACATCCACAGTTATTATAGGGGTGAAGCAAGCAACCCCCTTTCCAGCTCTCTCCTCTGCCCCCTGGGTGGTGGAACGTGGCCTGTGAAGTTATAGAGTTGGATTTGAATCCCAGCTCCACCACTTGTTAACTCTGTGGCCTTGGTTGGGCAAGTGAGTTCTCCCATCAGGCCTTAGTCATCACATCTGTGAAATGGGGGTGACTCCTGTAAGTCCTGTATGGGGTAGCTGTAAGGATAATGTGACAGCAAGCTCAGAATGTTCTGCCCTAGGCCTGGCAAAGGGTCCTCACCCAGGGTGACTCTGTCCCCAGAGGACACTAGGCAGTTACAGTGCCAAGGGAGAGAGGCCTTACTGCGTAGTAAGTGCTCACTGAATGATGGCTGTTCTCAGCAGAACTAAGCACTCCATTCACCACACACTCTCATTGACCACCCTGTGTTCTAGGGCACTGGAACCCCAACAGTCATCTAAAGAGGACCCCCCTACAGCCTGTGGCTTGCCCCTCAACCTGTTTCCCTTATGCCACACTCAAATAACCCACAATAGAGCTGACATTCCTGTAGGGGATGGCCTTGTTTGTTCTACAAACTGATGATCAGATGGGAGATACAGGCCTGCTCATTCATTGAAGAGTATGTGCTTTAGTGGAGACAGACAAGCATATGTATATCTTCAATGGGGGCATACAGGGTGCTCGGATAGGGGCTTGTAGATGTGTGTGTTGAGAGAAAGATGGCTGTTCAGATAGGAGGGGATGTTACAGGTTAAGTGGAGAGGCAGGGGGACTTAGATGGAGAACATATAGCATGTGTTAACCGACAGCAGTGGCTCAAATGGGGCATTACAGGTCTGTTTGCTGAACAAACGGGCTTGGGGGTGCCTGCTTATTGGGGGGTGCTTGCTTAGGGCCTTCTGGAGCCTGCCCTGGAGCACGAAGTTATTCTTGCAGCACCCGCTGGGTTTCCCCCTCCCCCATGCCCTTCCCTGGCTCCCTAAGGCCCCATCTCAGGAAGCTCAGGGGGGGCGGTTCCACACCAAGCTATTTCCATCCAGGACAGGCTGTTCTAGGAAATCCTCCTAAGTGAGCATTTGACAGCCCTAACCTGGTTCTGCTGCAGTCCTGCACCAACAGAAAGCCTGCTACCCCTTGAGCATGCACATGCACGTGCATGTGCACACACGTGCACACACACACACACACACAGGGCCAGCCTTCTCTCCTGCCCACAGCCCTGGCTCCCAAGATCCTTGCAGACCCACGTGCCAGGATTCGCTCATTCAAATAGCATGGTGCATCCTCAGGGCCATTGAGGGCAGCATGGTTTGTAACAGCAAAAGGAACTGACAGCCTGAGTGGCCATTAGGGGGCCTGGTTCCCAGATCCGTTCACCCCAAGCAATGCTGTTGGAGAGGACAGGAAGCTGCCTACATGGAAAAGCAACAAGGGAAAGGGTGCAACAGCGAGCTGGACGGAACTGGGCTAGGAAGCATGTGCAGATGCCCACCTGCAGAACCATGGGCAGAAGACCCTAGAAAGAGTGACAGCATGCCTTTGAGGAGGGCAGGGGTTCTAACTGGGGTGACTCTTCCCACCAAGGATACTCGGCCATGGCTAGGGACATATGTGGTTGTCACAAGGGGCTGGGGGAGGACTCCTGGCTTTGAGTAGGTGGGGGCCAGGGATGCTGCTCCATACCCCACAGTGCCCAGCACAGCCCTAATATCAGCAGTGCTGAGGAGAAGTTCCTGAAGCAGGGGACCTTGTGCTGGGAGGCAGGAAAGTCAGATCTCATCATGGTCTCAAGGGTACGTTGTGCCCTAAAATAAGTTTTAAAAGTAATTTCTAAACATGCCCCTCTCTGGGCCCCACTTCTTTGAGATCCCAATTCCAGAGATGGCACCAGGCTTTGCATTTTTTTGGGAATGCCACCATCCTTAGCTCTCACATTTGGAGGATGGTGGAGGTGGGAGTGCAGGGAGGAAGTTGAGGGGCACTCACATTTTTTCAGGGCTAACATGTGCTTGGCCCTGGTGTGGCCTGTCCTCTGTATTATGATGATGGCGGCTCCTTCTTAAACCAGTGTTTGCTCTGTGCCAGGGTCTCCATGGATTCTACATGTGCCCATTTTACACCATTCATTCATTCATCAGGAAGGTTCAAGGGGCTGAGCTGTCAGGGTTCCCGAGGGCCAGGGCAGGGGAAGTAGTGAGGCCCCCATCTTCAGAAGAATGACAATGTAATTCCAGCAGCTGGGCATGCACCACTAGGCCCTGGTCTAATGGCTTCACACATTATATCTCATTTAATCCTCACAATGACCTTGCAGGGAAGGTTCTCTTCCTTCCGCTGTAAGAATGAGGAAGCGCAAGCGCAATAGCTCAAGTGTTTGTCCATGTCCTCTCAGCTTGCCAGGGCCCAATCCTCCCCTCTGTTCACCCTGCTGCCTTCTCCAGGGCTCTGGCATCCCCTGGGAGGACCTCTCTCTTGAAGGAGAGAAGATAGGGGGCTGGTTGGGATATCAGAGGCACATGTTATCATCAAGGTCGTGAATCCTGGAAATCTCCCTTCTCTGCTGTGAGCCTCAGTTTGTTCCATCTATAAAATGGACCCTCAGCCCCTGCCCACAGGCTGCTGGGAGAAAGAGGAACAGGGGCTTTGATAGGGAGGCTGGAGTCGTGCAGCACTGTGACCCTCTGGCTCCTCCCCACACAGGCATCTCATCCCCTGTGAAGAAAACAGAGATAGACAAGTCACCTTTCAACAGCCCGTCTCCCCAGGACTCACCGCGCCTCTCCAGCTTCACCCAGCACCACCGGCCTGTCATAGCCGTGCACAGTGGTGAGCGCTAAGGGCCCCAGGTGGGGAGGTGTAGCTAGGCACTCTTATCCCCCTCGAGGCCAGGGGAGTCCCACCAACTGTCTGAGCACGAGTCCTGCTGAGCAAGGAACCCTGGAGGTGCCATGGTAGAGAACTCCCAGGCCTGACTCTGTCATTTTGAGCCTCAGTTTCCCCTTGTGCATGAGAGAGAGACACAGCCTGTGGCTTACCTCTCAGTCTGCTTCCCTTATGTCACATTTGAATGACCCATAGACAGACAACAGTGTCAGGCAGTCACAGAAGGAGGTAGATACACCTGGCATGTGGTCAGACACACAAGCCACGCAGATGATACGGGGTGCTCCTGGCCACACAGATAGGAATTGTCACAGTAATAACAGAGGGAGACAGACTCTGTCAACTGCAGGGTGTAAGCTGAGCCAGGCACTCTGTACCGGGCCCTCCCTAATGTCACCTGTCAATTGGGACTCCCCCTCCCAGGGTTGTCATTAGTGCTGACAGTTAAATTATGATAAGCTCCCAAGTATCACCTGTTACCCCACTGTTGCAATGATAATTATTTGGTTCTATATAAGAGCAGACATATATAGGGTGGCAGGCAAAAATCAACACAGCACAGTGACTTAGACCAAGGGCTGGCAAACCACAGCCCTCAGAGCATGTTCTTATAAAGAAAGTTTTATTGACTCACAGACATACCCATTCTGTGGCAGCTTTTGGGCTATGATGGCAGAGTTAAGTAGCTGTAACAGAGACCATATGGCCCAAAAAGCTAAAAATATTTATTATCTGGCCAGGAGCTGGGATGAGAGGGGAAGGGAGAGTGACAGTGAATGGGCACAGGACTTCTTTTTGGGGTGATAAGAATGTCCTGGAATTAGAGAGTGAATATACTAAGAGTCACTGAATTGTTTAGAAAAAGAAAAAAAGCAAACACCACAGCTCACTATTTGGTTATGAAAAGAAGTGAAGCACTGACACTCACTACAGCATAGATGGACCTTGAAAACATGATGCTCGGTGAGAGAGGCAAGATACAAATGTGGTTGCATTCATGCGAAATGTCCAGAAGAGGCACATCCACAGAGACGGAGAGTGGTTGCCAGGGGCTGGGGAGCCAGGGTGGGAGCTTCTGGGGATGATAAAAATTTTCTAAAAGAGATTATTGTGTTGGTTGCATAGCTCTGTGAATGTGCTAAAAACCATTGAATTATATACACTTTAAAGAGGCGAATTGTACAGGGTGGGGCAAAAGTAGGTTTCTAGTTGTTCATACGGGAAAAGACATGCAGGTTATGATTATTTCAATAGCTTTGTTAACTCAGAAGAATGGCACAGTGGCACAGTGCACTTAGGTACAATATCGTAAGTGCTCTGATCACCGGCCTTCACTATTCACACATTCCTGTAGTCTTTGAAAAGCAGTAAACCTGAATTTCAGTGACCTGCTTGGGTTTAGCCCTACTGCCTCTTGAGGTGGTTGAATTCAAGCCTACTTTTGCCTACCACTGTACAGTATGCAAATCGTATCTCAGTTTTAAAAAATATTGACCACTGGACCCTTTACAGAAAGAGCTAGCTGAGCCCAGGGTTATGGTGTGGGCCATGGGGCCAGATGGCCTGGGCTCCAGCCCTGGGTCTGCCATCTGCTTGCTGTGTGGCCTGGGGCAGGGGGCATAACCTCTGGGAGCCACCACATCAATCTCTGTTTAAACACACACACACACACACACCAAAAAAACAAAAACAAAAAAAGCAGGGATGCCACTAGAATCCTGAGGGTTTTCTGTGAAAGTCAGCAAATTTGGATGTGTGAATGACAACAGAGCCTGGCCATTGCAGGCACTGCTGGGTCCTACTGCTGTCACTGTTATTAAATGCATGGAGATTCAGGTGCAACCCACAAATGCAGTCACAGAGAGCAGAACAGACTGGGCAGAGCCCCCAAATAACTGCCCCCTTCTGTCTCTGCAGGGATCGCCCGGAGCCCTCACCCATCCTCGGCCCTGCACTTCCCCACCACCTCCATCCTGCCCCAGGCGGCCTCCACCTACTTCCCTCACACAGCCATACGCTACCCACCTCACCTCAACCCCCAGGACCCGCTCAAAGATCTCGTCTCACTGGCCTGTGACCCGGCCAGCCAGCAACCTGGACCGGTGAGTTTTTGGGGTACAGGCCTTCTCTCCCACACTGGGCTCCAGGCAACTTCCCTGGGGCCCTGAGCTGTCTCAGGTGGCCTTCTGACATGCATCCTCTATTTTAAATGGTTTTCTGAATGGCAGAGATCCACAGTTCGCTTCTGAAGCACTTAGAGCTGGGCCCGTTCAAAATTTGGACTTTTCAGATGTTAGAATTGACAGCATGTATTTTATGAAGTGCTTTGAAATCTAACATGGTCCTATGGCTGCAGCTCAGGCCCTCTTTTGTCTAACTTCCACAAAAAGCTTTCGGTGTTCAGAGCTTTTCAGGTTTTGGAACTGCTGGCAAGGTGGTGGATGGCTAGGTCCTGGTCGTGAATGAGGAAAGCATATAGACCACCTGTGAGGTCCACTCATGTTGTTTAGGACAAGGCGGCATCTCGTGGAAGGAAAGTGAGTGGATAAAGTGGCTTGAGGAGACAAAGGGAGTGCAGTCCCAGGATGCTGGAGGCATGCAGGGTCCACGGTACCCACCAAACTCGTCCAACCATGCCAACCTCGTCGTCCCCCAGCAGGACCTCGGACAGCAGCCCGAGGCGGAGGGGGTGCCTCCACCTTAACCACCTGTCTCTCTGTTCCCCCCAGTTAAATGGAAGTGGTCAGCTCAAAATGTCCAGTCACTGCCTTTCTGCTCAGATGCTGGCACCCCCGCCCCCTGGGCTGCCGAGGCTGGCGCTTCCCCCTGCCACCAAACCCACCTCCGAGGGAGGAAGCACATCACCGACCTCACCCTGTAAGCACTCGGGAAGCGGTGCCTGTGGCAGGGCGGGCGTCCCCAAGGGGCCCCCTCCACTCCCCTCCCCGACTGCTGGGGTTGGGGGCTCAGGCCCAGCCTGGTGGGTACTGGCAAGTTCCATGGTTCCCCAGATAGAGGCCATAGGGTCAGGTCTACATGGGGCCAGGACAGCCTTAGGGCACATCAGGGGCAAGTCTGCTGTCTGCCTCGATTGGCCAAGTGGCCTGGGGTCCCCATTTGCCCACTCGGGACCCCTAAGCCCTCCTCCGTGCGAGGAGCCGCTGACAATAAGTGAAGGTCTCTAGCTGGTGGCCTGAGGGCCAGACCTGGCCCACAGCTGCCCTTTGTGGAAAATGAGAATCTGTTCTTGTGTTAAAATCAGGACATTTCACATAAAAATTCCAGAGTTCCAAATTTTGGGGGAAAAACAACCACAGTAGGCCCTATTCTTACCAGTGACCAGGGCTGAGCCATATCTATAGATGGGACAGTCCCCACCTGACTCCCCAGAAGGCCCTGGGTGTGAGCTACCTGGCCTTCTAGAACTTTCCATTCTTTATGTGGCTCCAGGTGTTAGCCTGGTGGAAGCCCCTGGTTTGGTTTTACCTTCTAGAATTTTGCACTCTCTGGATATGGCTCCAGGCTCACTGACTCCCCATGTACTCCCCCCATCTGGGATTGCTCCAGTCTGGGAAGCCATACCCAGATTCCCTGTCCTGAGGTCTACCCATCAACTGGGACTCTGCACCCAGACTCTCCCTGGACTCCAGAGCAGACCTGAGTGTGCCTGCCTCATTTAGGGTCACTGACCCCACCATCCTTTCAGTGCCCAGCACGCAGAGCATCTGTCCTGCTTCCTCTCAGGCTGAGCAGCCCCAGGTGGGCAGACAGTCTCAGAGCCTCTGACTTCTCCTCGAAGTCTCACTCTGCCCCTCACACCCTTTTTGAGCATCTCTCTCCCTCACTCCTCAAATAAGATTCCTCACCCCACCCGAGCAATAGCAGCCAGTGGTTCCACCTGGGCCCAGTTGGCCTCCTTCCTTGCATGCAGCACCCCTTGCCCCCAGCATCCACTGCCTGCTAAGATCCAGGGCAGCTTCAGGTACAAATGGGCTTTGTCTGAACACCAAATGCAGTGCAAGATCCTGGGTTTGAATCCTGCCTCTGCAATTCACTCCCTGTGTGACCTTGGGCAAATGTTCTCCCCTCTCTGAGCCTCGGTTTTCTCAGCTGCAAAATGGGACAGTCACAATACCAGACTTGTAGGGCGGTGGGGAGCGAGTCAGTGAAATAGATCAGGAAGGACATTTAGTGCAACATCAGGCACTGAGTAAAGTCAGTATGGTGATCACCGACTACCTACTGTCTCATCTGTGAAAAGGGGCAAATAATTATGTTGGCTTCATTGAGGCCACAGAGGGTTAAATGGGATTATGCCCAGTGCTTGGCATACAATAGATACTTAATAGATGCAAAATAAATATAGATTCCCTATTCTTCCCTGCACTGGGTTCTTAAGTACAAGTTTAGTCTGCTTACCCACATAGCCCCCAAGTCTCACTGCCTCCCACTTAGCTTCACCCCGGCCAAGACCACACAGGGACCCTCCACCACCCCAGCCCCAGACTGCCTGAGGCCCCTGACCCACAGTGGCACCCAGCCATGAATTATTCACTCGCCCACAAAATGTGATGGGTGAAATTAAAATACAAATATATACATATATATATATACACACACATATATATATGTATATATATGTACATATATATATATATATATATAGATGCACATACCCAGCCTTCCCCATGCCTCTCCAGGAGGAAAATTAATAAATAAAATAGCCTCAATAATTGATGGCGCCCCGTGTGGGATGCACGCTGCCATAGCAGGATGGACCAGGCAGTGGAACACCCTGAATAATTCACAGGCGGTTTCTGAATTATGAATCTTTCATCCTGTGCCTTCGCTCCCAGCAGACGCCCCTCCCGAGTGACCCCAGGGGCCTGTGACTATGGGCTTTTCTGGGTGCCCGGATTGGCCAAGGGAGGGCACTGGGTACTCTGTGACCCTGGGCAGCGGCCACCCTCTCTGGGTGCTCCCGTGCGGCCCCCTTTGCTAACGGGCTCTCGGTCTCTCTCCTCCCCGCAGCCTACTCTACGCCCGGCACGTCCCCTGCAAACCGTTCCTTTGTGGGATTAGGACCAAGGGATCCAGCGGGCATTTATCAGGCACAGGTAGGGGCCAAGAGGCCGGCTGGTGGCGGGGAGGGAGGGCCAGGGCAGAGGGGCTAGCCTGGGTGTGCAGGGAGAGGCCAGGCTGCTGGGTCCCATGCTACACCCCTCTTGCTGTACATATGGCACAGTGGCCATTAAGCGTGGCAGGGAGACCAGCCTCCTGTACCCTTCTAGGGCCTCAGTTATGGCCATAGCCACAAACCCTACCTGCAGCTTCCTGCCAGGGGACCCTCATGGGCTATTGTCACCCTGGGCCCATTTGTATAGATGGGGAGACAGAGGCCCACAGAGGGGATTTGCCCAGGATCACACGTCACCCCAAGCTTTCAACCCCCCAGTCTTCATCCCTTCCATGTCTTTGGCCAGAGGAACCATGGGGGAGGTGAGCAGGGGGTGGCAGAGGACTCCTGGATGCCAGGGTCAGGTGGGGAAACTGAAGCAGCCTGTGACAGGTTATGGGCCTCCCAGTAAAGCATGCATGCCCCCACCTCAGGTTACAGCCTGCGAGGTGGGGAAGGTGGCAGCAGAGGCAGAGTTGCTATTACTGCAGCTAAGTGTGCACCAGGGTTGGGGGAAAGGTGGGCTGAGCATCAGACCAGGAGGCTCAGAGAGGAGGAGCAAGTTGCCTGAGGCTGCACAGCAGTGGAGGACAGAGCCCTGATGGATCCAGAACTGGAACTGGTTCCTAGCTTCTGGTGGAGTGGGAGGTGGCCTCAGCCCCAACCCATGTGTCCTGACTCCAGTCCTCGGGTCAGGGTTCAAGTCTGTGCTATATGCAGGCCAGAGTTGGCAGACAGTGTCTGAGGGTGGTGGCTGGACCCCAGAGCCCCTGATTTCTGGTGCGTGTTGCGGAGGGGGTTGCACAATGTAAAATAGCCCAAGGATAGCACCAGCTCCTTCAGGTCCTCTGAGGCCCAAATGCACAGAGAAACCCACTCAGGGCTCCCCAACAGCTCCGAATCGCCAGAACCACAGAACAAGGAAATTTGTGGGGTCCCAGGGGCCGTGTTCAGACCCCCCAGCCACTGTGGGAGGGTTCCTTGCAACAATGTCCACGGGGAGGTAGCCACATCTCCCATTCTCCACTGAGATCAGAGTCTGCCACGCTGACCAGGCCCAAGGAATCACCAGCCACAGTCAGGCATCCTGGAGACCCTCCAAGGCTGGCCTGTTATAGCTCAAGGGGCACAGAGTATGTGGAGAAGACCTGGCCCGCCCCCTCTCTCATGGCTTAGGTCTCACACCCAGCCCTGCTTTACCCACTCTGAACCCCTGTCTCTTCTTCTAGCCTTGGGTACCTCCCGGGGAGCCTTTGAAGGGCCTAGAATATTAGGGGACCAGTTTCATCCAGAAAGGGCACCGAAAGGCCAAGGCCACCCCACATACCCTCACATGCTCACATATTAAGCAGAGCCCTGGCAGGGATCCAGACAGAGGACTCACTTGGGCAGGGTCACCCAGCAAACTGGGGTGACCCCAGGACTCCCCATTTTAGGTTTTGGGCCCCAATGACATGGCCACCCTCTCTGTCCCAGCAGCATGGATGCCTCATCCCTCCAGTGCTCAGGGAGCCAGGCATTTCCTCTCCCGCCCCCACCCTACATCCCTCCCCATGGGAGTCTGGGAATGTCCTGATTGCTTCAGAAACCAAAGTTAATAAAAACAACAGGGAAGGGGCCCTGCCTACCTAACTCTTCCCCAGCCACTATCCACCTCACCTCTTCCATTATCAATCTGTGCATGAGGGGGGTGCACCCCAAGTGGACAGCCTGAAAAGGAAGGGAAGCTGAGGCAGGCAAGGACAGGTGCCTTTGCTTCTACATGCTTCTCCTTGCCCCCTCTTGATCAGGGGGATGATGAGGACCCAGAGAGGGTGGGACAGGTCTGGTGAAGCCCTGAGGAGGAGGCCTTCAGGGTGCTGCGTGGGTAGGGAGGAGTTGGATCCCAGTAGCAAAGGCTGGCCAGGCAGAGAAGGATGAGAGTGTCTACACCAGGACTTGGCACTGACAAAGGCTAGAGGTGATGGAGAAATAGCCCAAATGTGGAGAACCTCGAACGAGGGCTTTGGCTGGGGGCCGTGGGGAGCCATGGAAGGGTTTAGAGTGAGGGAGGGGCATAGCTAGGTCTGGGAATTGGAAAGAATTTTCTGGGACTGGTGTTGGGGGCAGTGAGACACGGAAGCGAGATGACAGATTGATGAGAGACTCCCAAGGGAGCCTGGGTTATGAGGGAGGCAAGGCCCCCAATCTGGGTGAACAGGGAGGGCAGGTCTGGGGGAATCACGCCGGCACTATGCAGACTGGGCCCTGGGCCACTGGACGAAGGGCACCCCAATTCCTGGGTAGGGCCAGGCCTCCCTTCCCCCCTCAGAAAGTGGGGAGGAGGAAGCCATGAGTGAGACCCTGCTCCCCCCTCTCAGAGCCCCTGCACAAAGGCCTCAGAGCTTAGAGGCCTCTGGTTTCTGGCCCAGTCAGCATTTCTGCCTCTGCCTTCATTATTCCTGGCAGGTTTGCTTTTCTCTGCCCCCACTCCCAGCCTGCATTGGCTTCTCTTTCTCTCCCACATACCCCCTTCCATCTCCTACCTTCCACCCCGTCAGTACCTCATTGGCCTGATTAATATCCCCTCCCCCATCAGTGCCCCTCCCCCATCAATATTTTCTCCCCTATCAGTACCCCTCCCCTTAATCAATATTCTCTCCCTCCATCATTGCCCCTCCCCCTGATCAATATCCCCTCCCCCCATCAGTGCCCCATCTTGAACAATGTCCATTGCTCTCCACCTGGTCGATTACCCTCCTCCATACCCCCCCACACACTCCCTGTCTTTCTCCATCAATCCCCTCAGGCCTGAGCCACCCATCATTTTGGCCCCCAGAGGGGGTCCCAGGAACTCTGACACCTTACCCGCTTTTTCTGTGTGATGGGGTGCCCCTGACCAAGCATCTTACACCAGATCCTTTCTGCTCAGGAGCCCATCACACCCCTTTGGCAGATGAGTAAACTGAGGGACAGAGGGGTTAAGCCACCACCTGCCCAAAGCCATACTGGTGGCTCTAGGCAGCCCAGGTGAATACCAGAGCCCAGACCTCAGCTCTGGTACTGCACTGCCTCAGTCTCCCTCTCAGCTGAGGGAGAGGATGTTGAGTTGAGTGTGCTGCCCCATTACTGGGGCCAAAGCAGGGCAGCTGGCCTGGGAGGGGAGGAAGGAAGGAGGAAGGGCCAAAGGGAGGCCGGTCATCACTGGAGAGGGCCACACCCAGAGTCTGTCTGGTTGCCAAGGGAAACCAGACATGAGGTAATGGCCAAGATGAACTTGAACTTGGTTGGAGGTGGGGGTTGGGAGCCATAGCACTAGCTTGATGGGATGGCCTAGCCGCTGTAGGGCAGTCTGGTTTAAGGCCTAGTTGGAGGGGATTTACAGCAGCGGTGGGGAGCAGCACTGCCCTGACCTCAGGGAAGAGGTAGTGGTCCCCAGGCGCACCCCACACTGGCATGTTACATTTCCAGGGGAAAGGTCTGTGCAGCAACTTCCCTGTGGAGACTGACACTGGAGCTGCCCAGTGCAGGCCAGGTTTCCCCTCCAGGAGTCTCTGTCTCCCACTTTGCAAAGTGTTTCCCACACTGGTGGCCTTGGGCAAATTACTTGACTTCTGTGATCCCCAGTTTCTCCACTGTGAAATGGGATGGTCCCTCCTTCACAAGGTTTTGGGGGGGGATCATTAAATGGAAGAATATTTGTATAGAAAAGGAAGCAACCCTGGTCACAGTGCCTGGATATGATGGCACTGCAGAAAATTGACTTGGAGGCAGAGTGAAACCACGGGCAATGAGGGTCAGAGTTCCTGTTGTCTGATTCAGCAAACAAAACCACAGGACACTCAGGTAGATTTGAATTCCAGATAAATGAAGGATTAAATTTTTTTTCTCTCTTTGGTATATAAATATAATCCAAAAGTTGCATGGTATATATTTATACTAAAAGGTTTATAGGGAATTTAGATTTCACTGGATTGTTTTATCTAGTAGCCTTGCTCAGGGATAAAGTCACTTGCCCAGGGTCACCCAGCAAGTGATGATAGATCTGGGTTGGGGGAGACAGAGGTCCCAGGTCAGGGAGAGGTGGGTGGAGCAGAGATGGGTGTGGGCAGTGGCAGAGCCTGACCCCACTTTCTTTCTTTCTCCTTCTCTATCTCTGTGTCCCCCTGGGGCCGGCTAGTCCTGGTATCTGGGATAAGAAAGATTTCTTCCCACGGCCTGCTCCTTCATCCCTGGTGGGCTGCACTGCCAGTCCCCAGCCTACGTTTTCGGTGGAAAGTTAGAGCAAGCAAGAACACCCTGCCGACTCCCAGCCCAGCCGAAAAGACAAAACACATAGACACATACACACAGGAGGAAAAAAAGAAAAAAAGGCCAAAAAAAGACAAACAGGAAAAAAATCATAAAAATAAACCCACCCAAGCAAGAAGACAAAAGGTAAAGACGGCAACGCTTCAGACTCTCGGGACGCCACAGCTGGACCTGCCACCCCTTGGTAGAGGACATGAGGATATGACAGTGCCACCGGGGTCTTTCTAAGTTACTCATCTCTCACTGCTGCTCTGGAAGGGCAGGTGCCCACCTCCACCTCCACCAGGACCAGGTGAGCACAGCCTGGTGCCCGTGCCCAGGCCCCACGGGGCAGGACACCCAGCAAGGCCACCTCTCCCCCGTGCCCCCATCGTCACCACCGCCAGGATGTTGGCCAGGCTTCCCACACTGGTGTTGGTGTTTCCAAGCAGGAAAGCAGGTGCCATGGAGGCCGGGGTGGGCAGGGAAGTGACAAGGTCAGAAGAGGGTTGTGGGAGACCCCAGGCATCACCAGGGGACAAGGACATGTGGCAGATTCTTTCTCAGGAGTTTCCTGGGGTCCGTCATGGGATCTCTACCTGCCCCAAAGCGTGCACGTGCTGGGCTGGCTCTGGACTCGGTCTTTCAGCCCCACGCCTGTCTGTTTGGGAGGAGAAGTCTCTATGCAATTGCCCCCAGCCCCACCCAGCGGCATAGAAGGCCACCCCCCACCGCTGGCCTGCGGCTCCACACCCCCGGGGGAGGGATCCACGTTGCACACACTGTAAGAAATGCACTTTCCAAGGAAGGGGCTGTGGAGGCGGAATGGAAAGACCCAGAGCTCCTCAAGAAAGGAGGTCATCTGGCGTCTCCACCCACTGAACCCTGGGAGGGGAGGACCCCTCCCCCTTACCCAGAGGAGGTGGGAGGTGAGAGCAAGTGGATTAAGTGCCTGATTCCCACCGCCCACCCCTCTTTGTCCAGCTGAGACGTGAGAGTGGCCGTGGGCATCCCCACCCCCTCCCCCACAACCTGGCCACCTTCAGTTCCCGACCCCTCATTGCTATGCTCCCCTCAGAAAGATGGGGACCCCCAGGGGGCCTGAGGGGCAGAGCTGGGTATCCCCAAGCATCCTGCTGTGCTGGGGTGCGGGGGCAGGGTCTGAGGAAACTGGTGTGCCCCCCTCCACGCCTCCTCTGCCAGTGCCTTACATCCTGGAGCGACACCCCCTCTCTGGTGCCTCTCAGCCCAAAGGGGGACTACGGTTTGCACTTTTATCTCCCCCAAAGTGGGCACAGCTGGGGAGGTGCATTGCAGCAGGGCCCCCAGAAGGACTGCAATCCTAGATGAGGTGGGGGTTCTAATGGAGGGGGGTGCCAGCACCTCTGGGCCCCCTGCGGCTGCATAGGGGACCTCCCATCTGCTAAGCGATTTCCGTTGAGCCGCTCCAAAAACACTAAGCTGGGGACACCGGGTGCCCCCAACCCCGGCTCCCCAGCCCCATTCCCACCCCCATCCCAGGATGGCCATCTTGGGTGGGGGGCCTGGGAGGGAGTGTTAGGTGTTCTAGGGTCACCAGGCCCAAACACAGGGACCCCTCCCGGCCCATCCATCTGAGCCCCCACTGGCCACCTCCAGCCTCCATGCCTGGCGCTGAGGAATATCTACCCCACCACAACCCCCACCCCTGGCCTAGGCCAAAGCTATTGCCCTGAGCAGGGCCTCCACCTCATCTGCTCCCAGCCTGGCCCTCAGCTCCTTCTCTTGGTACCCCCAGGCCTGGCCAGCCTCCCCCCACCTCCAGAAACCGGACTTTCCTCCCAAACCAGCCCGAGGGGCCTGGCGAACCCACTTGACCATAAAGAGAAAGACTCAAGACCCTGCCCCACTGACTCCCACCTCCCATTGTCCAAAGGGGTACAAGAAACCTTGGTCCGTCCGCGGATCCCCAGGGCCCCCTCCAGGTGGCCATTGGGGACCAAAACATGGGCTGTTCTTTGGGAGGTCAGGAGGGGTGGGTCATGCAGCTAGGGTATCCAGAAGCTTCTCAGCTGGGAACCTTAGGGTGCAGGTAGGCATGGTAGGGGAGGGGGCGCCTGGCAGCCCCCAGCGACCTAACTTTGCATGGTGCTTAGTCGAGGACTCCTGTGACCTGGCTCCTGCTGTCAGCTCACTGCAGCTGACACTGCATGGCAGACTATACCCGGCTCTATCCCCCAGCCCCAGCCCTCACCACTCTCCCTCCTCTTTAAAAAAAGATACAAAAAAAAATACCTTTAAAAAAGTCCATGTTTCCTAATTTGCACGAAATTTTCTACCACATGATGTGCCTTGCCTTCCAAAAATAAGTATTACCTTTAAACAATATCAGCGCAAAGGTAGCTGCATGCCCTGCTCGTGTAGTTAAAAAGAAAAAGACAAAACAATGACATGAAATAAAAAGTAAAAATGGAAAAGGGATGTATTTCTATTTGTAAAAAAAATAAAAATAAGAACTTTAAAAAAATTTCCACGCTAAAAAGCAATCCACAGAGCAATTGCCCCGTCATCTGCCCTACTGCCCACACCCACCTGCCTGGGCTCTGTCTCCATGGCTCCTGCTGCATTGGGAGTGCTCCCTGGTGCTCCGCCAACCCCAGCCCCAGCCCTGGGCTCCAAGGGGTAATTTCTGAAGCCCCCACCCATAGCAGCAGACAGACCTCAGGAGTGTGCCCTGGCTCTTGGGCCACTGGCCAGTCCCCCAGACGCCACGCATGCACGCATGACCCCAGGCAGTACCCCCATGGGATGGCCACCCTGCCTACAGCCAGACTCCCCCATCCCACCTCTCATGCAGGCTGGCGTCCCTCTGGCTCAGGGTCAAATTGCTCTCCCACCCCCAAAGAGGTCCCCTCTCTTCCCCTGTGTACCCTATCCTTCTTGCCAAAGGACTCCCTTGTCCCCCATTCCTGGAGACCAGCCTTGGGTGTCAGTTCCCTCTTGCCCTCTCCTTGCCCCCCAGCACCCAGTTTTATGTCTTCCAGCTGTGACTATGGAGGGTATCTGGCATGAAACAAACAAAAACCAAACTTGATATATGCAATATCTGTCTGTCTGTACCTGTAGGTCCAGCCCAGCCATCGGAGGCCCAGTTAGAGAGGCCAGTGGGGTCAGGGACAGTCACGGGAACCCCCCATCATAGGCCTCTGTCTGGGTGGCTGGCCATACTGTTGTCTTTTCCTTGTTTTTTATTTTCTCATTTCCCTTTCTTTTTTTAAGTTTCAATTTCCTCTACCTATAACTCAGTCAAAAGTGAGACAGTAGCAGACGGTTGGTTAGCGGGGTGTCCCAGCAGAGAAGACCAAAGGGCTGGGTTCTCCAACCTCAGGCCCCCACCTGGGCCCCCACAAGCATCTATGGGGATACCAGTTGGACGATGGTCCCCATTTATTTGCCTGCTGCCCCCTGGTCTTTAGAATTGTCTCCAGAGCACGATGGGACTTTGCAGAAACGTCCCAGCTTTCATCAGCCATCATATGCTCATCCCATGCGTTCTTCCCAAAAGACACCTCAGCAAGCCCCAGGGAACAGAGGGAGAGCCCCGACCTCGGCCTCAGCCAACCATGACAGTGCCCTTATGAACTGTCACTTGGCTAGAGAGCCCAAGGCCATGCCTGTCAGTTTTCATGTGCCTGATTTGTTTTTATTCTCCCCTACCCCATGCAAGGGCTTTGCAGGGGCCATTCTGTCCCTCCATGGACTGCACCCCCAGCGCCGCCCTTCCTTGCCCCAAGTTGTGTGGTCTTGCCCTTTCAGCACCGTTGCTGAGTACTGGAGGCACTTCCTTCCCAGCCAGTGTGTTATCCTGGGGCAGGCTGGTTGTTCCCATTTCTTGGAAAAGCTACAGGGTCCCCTGTTGGGCAAAATTCCTAGACCCCTCATTGTAGGCAGAATAAGGCAGAAATACCAGGAACTAGGCCCCTGACCCACCTCTGCAGTTTGGGTTTATGCCCCGAGGTGGGTATGGGGGCTTTTGTTGGGTTGTTTTTTGTGTGTGTGTGGTTTTTTTTTACATGTATGAAACTGACATCTTCTCAAACCCCATTCCTTCCCAAGCCCACATCACCCACCACTTATCCCCACCCATGCGAAGCCCCCATCCTGACCCTGGGGTCTAGAGACTCATGCTGTGGGAAAGAATAGAGGAGCCTCCCAAATATATGCAAGTCGCCCCATCTCTCATGGTTGAGGGCACCAGACAGCAACCGGATGGAGAGGGAGGTGTGAGAAGAGCTGGCCCTATCTGACTGGAAACGGGGATCGGGGTCCCCCATGCCCAAGTCTGGAACTCAGGTTCTGGCCAAGTTCTGAGCCCCACCCTGAGCTAGACAATCAGACCTGAAAGGAACCCAGAGGAGACTCGAGGGGCTGCTGCAGCTCCCCAAGCAGCAGCCATTTCCAGCCTCAGCCCCACGGATCCCCTCCCTGCTCCAGAACCTTCTGTCTGCCCCCACAGACAGCAGTGTTCCAGGGGCAAGCAGACTTGACTGGACAGTAGCCAGTTAGGCAGGACCCTGGGGCCATGAGCAACCACCCAGCCCCGTGGAAGAGAGAGCACACAGGCCCCCTCCCCACTCTGGCTTCTCCAATGGTACTTTGACCTTCAGTGTAGGGATATATATATATATGAATTTTTCTTGTAATACATATTATACAGTGTCTACTTTTTATTTTGGCCTGGATTCTCTCGCTGAGACCCTGATTTTTACTTACTTTCTGGATGATGTTGGGAGAGAGATTTTAGAGATCCACCCTCGGCCAGCTTCTTCCACATCCTCTCATCTTTCCCCATTTCTGCAGCTTTGGACACTTTCTACAAGTCCCGCCTCCAAGTTGGCACGGCCTCCCCTCATCCACCCATTCCTAAGCATTTCAGAGTGTGTGGGGTCAGAAGTGGCCCAGAGGCCCACCCCCACCCCTGCCCCCAGCCAGGCAGGGAGACAGACCCAAAGCCATACCAGCAGGACTTGTTGCCAGTGATACCAAAACAGACTTTTCCCAAGCAGTGCCTCACATGTCTGCTGGTGTGGCTTTGGAGTTCTCCCCGGCTCCCAGGGCAGGGGTAGGGGCAGGCCTCAGAGGAAAGGAGGTAGGATCTAACAGGAATAAGGGCTCCGGAGGGGAAGGAAGTCACCCCCAAGCTATAGCCCCCCATTCACACCTCCTGGCTAGAAGGCGACCCACTGGAAAGGGGACAGGAGCTTTCAAGGCCTACTCCAGTTGGGAATCCCAAAGCCCACTCCCAAGATGCATCGACACTTCTGTTGAGCCTCCTATCTTGGGTCCCAGCCAGGCCCCCCAAAACCAAAGCCCCTTCAAGTCCAGGGGTCCCGGCCCTTGCCCCCAGCTTCCTGCCCTCCCACCCCCTAGGACCCCACGTTGGGGAAGGACAAGCAGTGTCCAAGCAAGGGACAGAGCGCACAGCATGGGGGGGGGCACAGGGAGGAGGGAGAGAGACCCAT